TCCTAAAACTCACTGGTCACCTCTCCAATAGGTCCAAGTTCGCATTATCGAAAGACTGACTGTTCACCATCCCCTACGTGCATCCAATCCCGCTAAACAGGCGGCTAGAGGACTACACACAATCCAATCTTGGCCTGGTTCGGACTCATGTAAAGCTCAAGTGACGAAATAGGTCACGGACCCAAGTGGCGAAACAGGTCACTTGGTCCAACAAAACAACCCCAGGACAAAACATGTCACTGGTGCAAGCCTGGAAGTTAAGTCAACAATCACATTCGATCATGTGAGCCAAGACTTTCCCATCCCAACTCTTTTCATTTTTCAACGATCATAATCCCTGTTAAAACTCTGGCTCACCACCTAAATTCAGTCAACACACCCACACATATCACTAGGTCTGTTCATGACGCACGAGGCCACTAAGTCATGAACTACTAAAGTTCTCAATCACAATAAGGAGATAGTAATAACACTAATTCTATACAATAATAACATGGCAAGTCGAACATGATTAAACAAGTTTGTAAAACATGAATAATCACTATATTAAAACATGGAATGCATGAACAGCCTACCACAATATGAATGCACATATAAATAGGTTTCATTGATAACTTACTACTGGGTGTCAAAACTTCTCATGTAAGCTAACCGTAATTAAGTATCCTCTAATATAACAATACGGTAAAAAAGAAAACTAGAAACCGATGTCGTTTTGCACATAAAATATCACGCTCTACAACTATCAGTTATACGTTCTTAATTAATAATATTCTATTTCCAAAATTACTTTAAAACTATTTCTTATTATAACTAATTTAAAATAATATTTTGTGATATATATATTTGTTAATTCTTTTCTGCATGAATAGTAATGTTTTCCTATTTTATAAACTACCTTTAATTTATTTCTTTTTCGATAATATTTTGTCTTGTCATTTCAAATTATTATTCTAAAATAATTCTTTTTCCTCAAAATAAATTATTTTAAAAGTATTATAAATTCTTTAAAATAATTTCGTTATCAAAATAAATTCTTTTAATTTATTATAACTATTCTAAAAATACTATTTATCACATATCTATGATTTAAATCATTGTTATTCACCAAACAACTCATGCAATTAATTATAATACAAACTAATCTACACATATAATATATAAATATTGAAACAACAATAAGGAGAGGCGAGATCTTGCCTCGGTGCGTCGAACAAGTCGACATCGACGGCACGGGTCGGATCGGACACGGTCGAGCGCGACGTCGGAAGAAACTCCTTTAGAACTTGAAGCTGAATCCTCCAAATCTTATCGCATTGCCTCTAAGTTCCCTTGATGTGCTTCTATAAATTTTCACAACGTATAAGCACTATCAAAAGAATCAAGTTTGTTAGCAAAAGATAAGCCAAAGACATCAATAAGAAATTCTAACAAAGACTTGTTCATAGTAAACAATCTAATATCATTATCACTCCACTTGGATTTCTCCGTAGTGGGTACAATATAAATGCATTCAATAATTTTTCATATATTGATATTTGTAGATCTAGCAAAAATGTTAAATCTAGCACACCATTGTTCATAGGGGAAATTACTAATTTTAGGAGCAATGTTAATAGCATAACCAATAATAGGTCCACCGTGCATGTCCATAAAATTATGCAATCAAGAAAAAAAATATCAAAACAAGATTAGCAACAATAAAAAGAATAAGAGATCTTTAGCTCAAGGTGGTTAAACCTCAAATCAAAGAGTACTAAGCTCTGATATCAATTGAAAACACCCTAGAGGGGGGTGGGGGTGAATATGGTTATTGCTAATCTTATTAGATATTAATAACGATTAAAGCTTATTAACAAATTATTCTTGCAAGATAGATATACAATATGATATGAGCAAGAATGAGCAATATAAACAAAGTGCAATATCCTATTAATGAGATACACAATGAGATATATGCAATGATAAGCAAAAACAAATGTGATAGGGCAATGTAAACTATGAGCAATGGCGAATAACATAGACTAAGCAATAGACACAAATGATACGTCAATACAAACTCTAACACACAAAGATGATCACGGAGTTCGGACCTTTCGTCTTACGTCTCTGTTCCCTACTCCCGAGGAGAAATCCACTATCACAACCGGGTTTTCTACGCTCACCCGATTAAACCCTTGGATTGGAGAAGTACGTCTTCGTATTTAGCATCTTTAATCCTAGACCCCTAGATTTTGGAGAAACTTATTTCTACCCTGCAACTTTTCTCTTCCTTTCCACCGAGCTAGAAAGCTTATGATTGAACCCATTGTGCCTAGAGGTGAGCAAAAGGTTGGTACCATCAATTTTGTCTATTTCTTTTCTGCCAAAGCAAACCAAATTAGATCCAAAAAGAACCAAATTGAATCAAATCTATTTGGTACGGTTCAGTTTAGTTCTATTAAGTAGGGCATTAACATATCAAGTTAGAGAATTTTCCACTAAAAGACAAACATTTTACTCCTTTAAACTTTTTCCTCATCTCATATTTGAAGAGAAAACTAATCAAGTCAACTACTTTATAAACTAAAATTTATAAAAAAATCACAATAGATTACTATTCACCTTAAATCTAAATTTTAGTTCTTTTCAAAATTGTGTGACTGGCGTGCCATAGAAATAATCAAGTGTTAATCACATGCAACCGGTAGACATGTGTCTCAAGCAGACTACACACCAACTCGACCTGCATACACTGTCTTCTCGTCTCCCTCAAAGGCCGAGATGAAAAGCGTCCATTCTCGTCCTCCTCAAAGGTCAAGATGAAAGGAGTTCCTTCTCGTCTCCCTTGAGGGTCAAGATGAAAGGCATCTTTTCACAACCCTCTCACAAAGCCGAGACAGAAGGTCATCATTCTCGAACTCCTCACTGACAGCAAATCACCATCATATGAAAGCGACAATCGAAGTCATGATTACATCCCCCTAAAAGTCTTAATGACTCATTGGACTTTATCAGCACTTTACTCCCCTTGTCACCTTCACATTAATCACAAGGGTAACTTCATGCTACCAGCAGCTGACACCTGTAAAGTATCATCCGAATAAGCTGACTGCTTGGACTCAGCCAAAGTTACACAAATACCATCGTCAGCTCGGTATAAATAAGCACATCGCCTACTGACTTAAGGTACGCAGTTTCTACATATTTAGAGAATTATATCAGCTTCTTTCTCCTCTTTAGATCACAACTAACTTGATCGTTAGAGGAACCATTGGAGAACCTAACTTTGATCCTCTAACATGTTGCATGTGTACGTGTAGGACTCTCTTCCTATCAAGGGACCAATCATCAAAGGAGATCAGGGGACCCTAAAACTCTCCATAATCTATACTAAATCTCCTTGTTTGATATCTGATATCAACAATGACATATAAACTCCATCCAGCAAATGTTTGAAGAGTAGAGGAAGCAAAATATTAATAAGAGCATGAAACCATTATTTTATTTTAAATTTTTTTGCGGGATGATATTGGAGCTATTATTATTTGGTGAACATGGAGGGAGTATAATAATAAATATTTAATAATATTCAACGACCTTACTCTCTCATATATCATCAACTTATTGCTAACAATGTTCATTGGTCTTCTTTACTTTCAAGAGGGGAAAAGGAGTGTGTGGACCAGTTGTTTTGCAGTTTGTCTCATAGGAGTGACTCTGACTCTTCTTCTTTTGAGATGCAAAGAGAGTTGATCGACTTCTTTTCCCCATATTTTGTCTTTTATATAGGATTCTCATGAGTATTATGTTCAACTCCTATCTTTTGTCTCCTATATGGAGTCTTTTGTGACCCTTTTTTCGCTAATCACACTAATAGAAAAATGATCAACTAGACGGAAATTTTCATCTAGGTTGATTCAAATTCCGTTTAGATTAGTTCAACTAGACGGAATTCCGTCTAGTTTGGGTGGTTTATTTTGCTTCCGTCTAGATAGAATCAAACTAGACGGAATTCCGTCTAGGTAGATCAACCTAGATGGAAGTTAACGTAGACGGAATAAAGAATACTGTCTGGTCTGCCAGACCAGATGGAATTCCGTCTGGTCTGACAAACCAGACGGAAATTCCGTCTGGTCTTCCATACCAGACGGAATTCCGTCTGGTTTGTCATACCAGACGGAATTTCCGTCTAGGTTGGTTTTTCACAACCTAGACGGAATTCCGTCTAGGTTGCCTTTTTTCCAGAAAAAAAATTAATTACAATTTATACTTTCCTATACAATTACATTAATATTTGAATACATCCAGAAAATACTGTACACGTGAATACATTCAACCATCCAATTATAATTAAAATTCATAACAATTCCATTCAAAAACCAAATATAACCAAATCCAACACATTGTACAAATCCAACCATCCACTTCAAAATATACATCAATCAGTTCCGTCTAATACACATCCAACAACATATATACTAACAATGCACATGACTAAGATAGGATACATGACATGAATAAATGTAGTGCTATAACAAATAAAACTATTTATTGTATTAAAAATAAAAAAACCTCATCCATCGTCGTCGGTGGGGGTATCTCTATCCCGATTACGAGAACGGGTGCTGCTCCTTCCAATATCTCCACTCTGAATGTTTAATTGAATAATCATTATGTGGTGTTTGATAACATATTAGATAAAAATGAATTTATAAATATAAGAAAAAATAAGGTACCTGAGCACTACTCTGTCTAGCGCCGGAATTATCGCCAATCGAGCTAATGATCCGTATGACACCACCATACGCGCTATAAGGAATAGCACCGCCTAAATATTGTATAACATACCCCATGAGATCGTCCATCGAGTTCGCCGTCAGCGCAACTCTAGTCATCTCATTAGTCACCTGAATATGCAGCTCCGGGTCAATTTTGTCAATCAAGAAGGCAGAGATACGTGCGACAAATGGCATAGCCTGGAAACTGCTTGTGGCTGCTCTATGCGATGTAGATGGTGTGGAGGATGTTGTGGACGATCTAATGCTTATACCGGGTGAAGCTCCGACACCATGCAGAGGATATCTTCCTCTCCTATTATTAGGGAGAAATAAATATTAAACTTTGCTCTCAAATTCAATAATGGTAAACAAATATAAATAGTATGTAGTATTCAAATTGATTCGATTTTTCACCATCCTTACCTATTATGACCCATCAGGTTCTGTGTGAGATTGATGTTCTCCTCTGCAGAAAGCATGTGAGGGTCTGGCTCGGTTTGTTCCTCCTCCTGCGAAATGTAGACAGATGCAGCCTCCTTGGATGCGTTCTCAAATCCCTCCTAAAGCACAAATTTATGGTTAATTCAAGATAATGACCATATTATTTGTGTTCTCGTTTCCTCGTAATGTTAACAAAATAGAATTAATAATACTACTCAAGATATGTATAAGTCTCACCACTAACTCGAGATTTGCCGTGATCTTATCCCGATTCTTCTCATCACGCATATATTGTTCATGGAAAGTACCATATGCCGCTTTTGCCCTCAAGTGTATCGGCATTAATGATTTCCTCTATCATATTATAAATTTTGAGATTTCATAATCATACTAAACATTAAGATCTTTTAAATCTTTAAATGACATATACCGTATCCTGACAATAAACATCCTCCAGATTGGCGTAGGAGTGTGAGCCCAAGTGATGGTCATGCAGCTTCTTTCTTCTATTTTCTGACCCCTTCGTGGATTTATTCTTTAAAAAAATTCTGTAAATATAAAATGAAATAATATCTTAAAATTATAAACTAAATTTCATGAAACTAACCTTGGCGGCATCGCTGTCCCAATACATGAGGAGAGCCGTGAAATGAATCTCGTCAACTCGGTCATCGAGGTTTAAAAACCTCTGCCAGTCCTCCTCATACCTGTCATAGGTTTCATGTTTGATCTCATGCCTCCATTGTTTGAGGACTGCTTCAACCTTGACATTAAACACATAATTCCGAGCCCCCTCAAAGTCCTCAAGGCAGAAGCAGTCCTGTAGATTTACATACACATTTAGTAAGGATAATTTAATATCAATTACTAATTATTAATAAATGAAAATCTAAAACAATATGCACTTACCATAAGCGCAGTCCATATCGCCTCGTATGCGGTCCATGGTAATTCTCGAAAATGAAAATAAGGGTTGATAATGGTCGCTCTACGCACTAGAACCCCAATATATGCATTCAAGCGGGTCGACCATGGACCAACGGGCAAATTAGAACTATTCCACCTAATAATGCCCCTCATTCCTCTTGGCGGTTGTTTAGAATCAGGCTTACCTCCGCCACGTCGTCCCTCTATGCGATCTGACTTAGCACCTACAATAATAACAACATGATAATATATCATATAATATACAAATGTGAAAATTAAAAGTATTTATACAATTTACCATTCGCTATCTCTCTTTCTTTTGCTGCGAGTGCATCAGCTTTCCTAGTCTCCAACATAGGAAGCATTTCCTGTAACTTTCTCATAGCACGTGGGTGATACTTCCTTGAGTCAGCCTTGGACTTATGAGAGTCCGGAGGTAAGGGTAAACTGAGATAGTCCTGTGTCTTTGGCCGCAAGTCAGTATGGAATGTATATGATGGATATGTCGGGGTCCAAGTAGCACCTACATAAGAAAGAAGAATCATTAATATTAAATTTTAATTGACCATTATCAATTATTAAATATTTAATACCTGTGTCGGGGGATGGTTCTGGTGCTGCATCAGAACCGCCGGGTGATGAATATCCCGCATCTGCAACAAATGAACACTATGAGCTAGATAACTAAAAATTTATAAAATATATTAAAGTATTAATTAATTTTTATACCTGCATCCGGAGATGGTAGTGTATCATCAGCACCACTACCTGGGGTGATACTCTGTGATCGATCAGCCGGCTGGTCAAAGAGCCTCCTAATCCTCCTCATCTGCAAATTTAATAAAGACAATTGTTAAGAAAAAAAATTGTATACATGCTCATGAGATATGTTGTTATGAAATGCATTATTGTTTTTATTATGATAAGATAAAAATCGATAATGTGGTGTAACATATATAGTTCATACCTACATAAGTGCCACATTCTGTGCGTAAGAGAATTCTTGCCAAACATCATCAGATGAACCAATTGGTTCACTATAATTATCTTCACTTTCTTTAATATTTTTTTCATTGTTATTAGGAAGAATAACAGATCTTGGCTCCTTGTACAAAACCACCCAATCAGACATGACATTTGGATCTTTCACAAAGAAGCACTGATCAGCTTGTTCTGCGAAAATGAATTTCTCATCCGTATATACTTATCAGTAAAGATTGACTAGTGTAAATCCATAATGATCCTTTTGCTTTTTTACAGGACACCACCGAACCTTGAACATGACTAGTGTAAATCCATAATGATCCTTTTGCTTTTTTACAGGACACCACCGAACCTTGAACATCGTGTAAGTACATTGTTTTGGTTTACCAAACCCACCACCGAACCTTGAACATCGTGTAAGTACATTGTTTTGGTTTACCAAACCCGTAAATTACCTCAACAACATCTTCTAATTGGCTATAATATAATATGTCAGCTAGAATTGGATTCTGATCTCTTATACTTGAAAAACATTCTTGAGCAAACAAGCCCATGACCCCACTGTTCTGAGTTACCCTCCTATCATCGGTCTCTAACGTTCAAAATTTATATCCATTCACCAAATGCTCATTATAACGTCTCACTTCATGATAAGGACGTTGTGCATGGATAATAATTTCATCTGGTAATGTAGTATCATCAAGAAGTGATTATTCAACCTAAGACAAACAATTTGAGAATATTTAGGTGATGTTATATTATGAATGTTCAATAATTAATTGTATAACACTTACATCAATTCTTAACCAATCAGAAAATTCTTTCTTATGTCTTTTCTGAATATTGTGCACTGCATTCCTACTGGTTGTTTCATTCTTAAGCTTCTCCAGATGTCGCCTATATAAACAATATATAAGTTTGTATTGATAAACTATATGTAAAATGAATATTTATCATCTATATTACAGATTTTATTTGTTACCTTCGATAGTCTTCGAACATATCAAGGTTTTCCAACACATATGCATGAATTTGATCTAAGAGCGATCTCGGGTATTTTTCACGCTTCCTCTCCTTTTGAGGTGCTTGAGATGTGGTTTTCTTCTTACGTATGTAATATGATGCAAACACAAAGCATTCGTTAGCCACGTATCCTTCAGCTATCGAGCCCTCGGGACGAGCTCGATTGCGAACATTGTTTTTCATGCAGCCCAAGTATCTTATAATCATAAAAGTTAATTATTAGCACGGTAATTTTAAAAATGCGTATACAATTAATAAATATAAGAAGAAGAACGTGATAATCATGGGTCTTCAGACCTAAGAGTTTTCGCTCTTGCACTTGGACATTATTTGAAATGTTAGCAGAGTAACCATCCGGCGACTTTACCGATTTGAGAATTTCACAAACTCGTTGCATCTGCTCATTTGACATTGTAACACGAGACGGAGGCAACTTTAATTTTTTAAGGCCAACGTCTTGAGCTTGCAAATCATTTCGGATATTCAAAGCAGTCAGATCTTGGCGCGCCCGTAGATCATCCTTCGACTTGTTTGCATCTTGTAAGAGAGTTGATACTATGTTATCACATATATTTTTCTCAATATGCATAACATCTAAGTTGTGTCGGATTTTAAGATTCTGCCAGTAAGGTAGCTGAAAGAAGATACTAAATTTAGTCCATCCCCTAGGTAATTTTTGGGCTTCGTCCTCAACTTGCATTTACGGACCTCGCGCTTACGCTTTAATTTTTTTTAAAATTTAAGTAATCTCTTACTCCGAGCGGGTTAAATTTAGAATAGCGTTTTTTCCAAACACAACTTTTGGAAACCCCTCAAGTAATTGAACGATCTCATTACCTGTCAGTTGACGCAGCTTCATTCTTTTCTCAGCTGTGCCATCAAACTTAGCTGATAATTTTCTGTACTTATGACTCAAGGACAACCACATTCGAGTAAACCAATAACAACTCTTTCGGCTATGTGGTAATTGAAGAGCTTCAAATTCTGGACCACATACAGGACAAGCACACTTGCCCTTCGCAGAGTACCCGGACAGATTAGCATAAGCTGAAAAATCATTAATCGTCTATAATAGAATAGCATGTAATCTAAACGACTCTTTTAAATGGGCATCATATGCTAAAATACTCTCAGACCATAATTGTTTTAGCTCATCAATTAGAGGCTCTAAGTAGACATCAATATCATTTCCCGGAGCATGCTTACCGGGTATCAGTAATGAAAGTATCATAAACGGCTGTTTCATACAAAGCAATGGAGGTAAATTATATGGCATTAATACAACTGGCCACGTAGACCAGCCAAAGCTCATTACCCCAAATGGATTGAATCCGTCGCTTGATAGACCCAGTCTTACATTTTTGCAATCTTCGGCAAAACGAGGATAAATTTTATCAACATGCTTCCAAGCTAAAGCATCAGCAGGATGTCTCAATTTACCATCGTCTACTCGATCATCCTTATGCCACCTCATATTCTTTGCCGTTTACTTGTTCATGTATAATCTTCGCAATCTAGGAGCCAATGGAAAATGTCGAAGCACTTTGATTGGAATTTTCTTCTGTGTTATCCCTATCTCCGTTGTAATCCTTGTTGAAGAATTTGTGCGCTGTTTCCACCTAGAAACTCCACATGTCGGACACTCTTGAAGGTCTTTATTGGCTTTGTGGTACAAAATACAATCATTCGGACATACATCAATCTTATTATAATCAAGAACTAGAGCAGAGACAATCTTCTCAGCTTGATAAGTTGTTTGGGGTATGCTATTCTTTCCTCCAGGGATTACAGTCCGAAGCAAATCAAGAAGCATTTCAAAATAATTATCTGACATACCGCTAAGTGTCTTAATATGAAGGAGTTTCAGCATAAATGAAAATCTGGAATACTCGGTATATCCCTCATATAAGTCCTTTTCACTATCTTCTAGTAGCTCCATTATTCGCTTTATTTCCGCGGAGGAATGCATATCATCAATATTTTCGACACTCGCGACACCTCCTACCTCTTCAGCTTCAACTTCGTTATCATCTTCACTTTTGTCTCCAATATCATCCTCAACATTATCATCAACATCATATTCTATAGGTTGAGGAAAAATATCATTCAACAATGTTTCCGTGTCATCTATTCGTTGGCCACCGGACGTACCAACATGCATATTTGGATCCTCATCTTCAGTGATACCTTCCCCATGCCAGTTCCAGTATTTATATTTCTCATCAAAACCTGATTTTATTAGGTGAATCTGTATATCATTTCTATTCAGTTACATAGCACCGCTTCTTAAATTTCTCAGATTCATTTCCGCATAACGCATGAAGGCTTCACATCCCTC